ATATGCCTTTTACGACGCGGTCCGTTGCTATGAAAAATAGACCGGAAGTAGTGTTTTCTTGCGCATGTTCAATCTGCGTAGGACAAAATGAGCGTCGCCCTACATAGAAATATAGGACAAGTAAATAAACAAATCCAAGTTAGTTTAAGATAACAAGTGGAAAATTTTATAAAATAGCTTTTAACCTAACTTTACTTTGTGGCCAAGATTGCCTTTTGAAGAATCCCCCCCCCCCCTTACAATCACGAACCTGACATTAAATTTTTTGTTGTAAAAAATCTAACTATTAGCAAATAAAGAGATCAGTTTATTGATTGTTAAAAAATTAAGCCTAGTAAGGATAGATTTTCAAAAAACCTTGCTGATTACTGTAGTGCGAATTTTATCTGAGATCATCTGTTTATGCGCACGACACTACTTTATTTGCTAAGGCGTTAGAAAAATTACATATCGTATTGAATTATATCACGGCTTTAATTAAAGTCTTAATTATATTATGGATATCTCTCGGTTGTTATAAAAATTAGTTTTTTCAATATGTAAAACATCTAAAATGCTTGAGAATGAAGTGACCATGCATGCAGTGAGTAAAGAAAATTTAGTATTTTAATTGGAAATTTGGATTTGTGCTTGTTAGTAACATTAAACCTTGCTTCTAACTTCTAACTTTTTCTTCCATTCATAGTTAAACAAATTCAGTTGGTGATATTCGTATGTAATAAAATAGCAATATACAAATACACACAAAAACAAAGTAAAAAAAATTAAATTATCTTGAAGTTAATGTTGAAATGTATTTATAGTATTGATACAAAATTCAAGTTCTGTTTTAAACAGTTTTATTATGTCAAATTCATTTGATGAATTATAAATACAAACGTAAGCTTTATTAATACTAAATCCTTCAATGGCGAGTATAACATTTATCTTGACATATTTTATAACCGAAAATAAGGATGTCTAGTTTACGAATATATCTTTTAATTCCGCACTCTAGTAAATATAAATTTTCAACCAAAATACATTTAGTGCCATACAATCTATAAAAGGTGTTGATAATCTTCTGTTTTATTATATATCTAATAAATCTAACCAATAGACAATCTGCAATTATACCTCGTGACCGTCCAATATATTGGATCTAAATATACATTATTTTCATATTTGACGGTGGGGTGCATATGCAATAAATGATGCTGATCTGGTCTCTAACAAATTTAAGACCGGGAACGATGCTTGTATAAAGACGTTTACAACAGCTGATAAAGCGTCTTTCTGACCATGAAGCGTTGCTTTGTTTTTGTCCAAAAGGCAAAATGTTAACAGACGAAGGAATAAAAATAAAGTGAAAAAATAAGATATATGATAAAAAGGTTATTACACATTTTACCTTTCAGAACGGAATTTATTTGGACTCGTACTCAGCTTGAAAAGTCATATTAGACTCGCCTATCGGCTCGTCCAAATTGACTTTTCAAGCTACTTACTTGTCCAAATATATTCCCGTATTGTACAGTAAAATGTAAAATAACCTAAAATTGTTACATTTATTACAGAGTGGAGATGAGACCATTTCCCTTTTTTAGCGCGTTTCTTTGCTTGTAAATAGCATTTTACTTACTCTGAATTTGAATTGTCCAGATCAGTTTTCTCTCATATTATTTGACCAATACAAGCGAGTTTAATAAATATTTTGTATTCTAAAATTTGATATATAGCTTTTGATTCCATCATTTCAAAACGTATGTCATTTATGTTAAAAGCGTTTTCTTTCTTTATTTTCGTTTGCGAAAGTTTAAACGTTTCCAGGCTAGCGGTAAAGCCTTAAAGAGCAAGTTAAATTCAACGACGCAGTTGCATTTATCTATTAGCTTATTTAAAATAACATTTAGATCTATTTCACCCTGATCATTAAGGTCATAATTTAAGAAATATATACTCGATTCAATCCATGTTGTAAAAACAAACATTATTTATTAATTTTAATGAATCTATTGTCCAAAATTATTTGTTTTCTTGTTTGCTCAAATGTCAAATTTTGTTCTTTTTTTGTAAATTGCCTGTTTTTTATCCATATTTTGATAAGTTCTTGATAAAATTCAGTCAAATTTCTACAATTGAGACTTTTAATAGTGTCAGTGTTAAAATCAGATATTAAGAAATTTTCACCAATACCTTTCAGTAGGTATTACGGTATTAATTTACTGTTTGCTTCTGATTCATCAGTATATCTATTCCTCCTTGTAATTTATTGCCTACTAAAGTTGCACGTTTTTCTTGTTCTTGTTTATTGTCCTTTAAAAATTTGAATATCATTAAATTAATATATTTCACGATACTTTCTGGCACAACTAAAGAATGAAACAGGTAATTAAATTTAGGTACACATAATATTGAGATTGGTCGATAACTTTTTTATAAAAGTGGGTCCCATTTTTTTGTAAACCAAAGATAGACAACTATTTTGTTATGAATGAGACAATAGTTTTTTTTAATAACATTTATTTAGACACTCAGTGAGATGTGAACCTATGCAATAGAAAAGTTCTTAATATAATTCTGCAGGAAATACCATCAATTCCTGGGGATTTATTTGGCTTAAGTCCACATACTTGTAGTTTTTATTTCGTTCAAATTTAAAGAACCTTCGCACTTTCGCTTCATCATCGGATAGTTTTCATACTGAATATTGTTAAAAGTATGTTTTATATGATTTGTTGGAAGTGTACTAGAAAAGTAAAGTGGTCTGTAATAATTTACTGTTTCTTTTAAAATTGTCGTTAAATCTAAAATTACATTTCCATATATCTTAAGCATGTAAACCTTTTCCACGTTTTGCCTCGACTTTTCAGGATTCAAAATAAATGTTGTTTTTTTTTCCATTTTCAAGAAAGTTTAATCGAGATCTTATTTGTTTGCCTTTCGTCTTTGTTTCATACAGTTCTTGGATTTCGTTCTCTAAGTTTTCAGTTTGATTGGATTCTAATATACTGTTGTTTGTATTAATCTAAGTTTAATTAAAGTTCTATGATATACTCGTATTTAGCTGTAATGTGGGAAAATAATCTATTATAAGACTAAATTGTAGAAACGTGTTGTCTGCATAAATGTTGTAACTTAATACGACTTATTTATTCTTAAACCAGTATTGTTCACAATGATATATAATTGAAATTCAATGCTTAATATAAAATTGTATATTATTTTGCTTAGTAGAAGCTTGGCATCTTTATATTTTTATATTTATATTAAAATGATACCATGTACCCTGTACAAATGCAAAATATAACTACGCAGTTCATACGACCTAATCGATGTTCAGTTCATCTCTTATATATTTTAATGATCCGTTTAATTTCATACATAACTAGAAGACAATTATTTACACCCAGTAACCAAGTATCTACTTTGTTTTCAGTGTTCCCGCGGGGTCCGTCCTTTGTCGGTAATTCATCTAAAAAGTGTAATTACTATTTCTTTTTTTGAAATGATTGTTTCTTTATCAGGGTACTGACTTAAATTTCCTTTAATGGTGGACAAAGTCACGCGACGGCTGGGCTGTTACGCAAGGGAAGCCGCTCAGGGAAACGATAATACGAGTTAACCATTAAAACAGTCAGTGCAGAATTAACGTGCTTTTTTGTAATTGTTAAATGATTTTGATTACAAAAAAAAAATCTTTATTCACCATAATATTCATTAAGAAGTCCTAAATTTTTAAAATTATAATAATCTTTTTCGTATGAACTGGTAACGTATTTTCTTTAATTTGTATATTTAGCGGTGGGTTATTTTTACGTACTCTCAGAAAGAAAACATGATCACATAACACCATCTTCACAAAAACATACTTTATCAGATACTGAAACTTTAACAGAAAGTAAAAAAAAACTTTAAAACTTAAAATTACTTGTAAATTATTTGGTCGGTAAATCTGTTTTGACCGGTAACCAAATAAAGTCTTTCATTTTCATCTGACAAAAGAATAAATAAACCAGATCTTCTAGTATGTTTTTTTCTTTCTTTCTGTTTAAGGGATGGGGTTATATATAGCTTTTTCTAGGTTCTTGACATGATTGTCTTTAAATATGGAGGCTACAATTCTCGTGAGAGAAGTTACACAATTTTCGAAACCTAGTAAACGTTCATAGTTGTTGTTGTTATTTTCACATTGAATTTATTATTGTGAAAACAGAAACGGCCGTGAGTGTATTACATTGTAGCAGATGGCATCATTTAGGAAAATATATAGATGTAGCTAATAAAAAGCGACAAGAATAGTTATTACCCGTTGTTAATTCATAACACATTTTGAAATGTTAATTGGTTCAACTTATTATCCTTTTTATCGTTAAAAAGGCACATGTAATATTATACTTTTGACGCTGTTATTGTCACGTCTTTTCTTTTTTTGATGTTTTTCTCCTTACTGGAACTTTTTATTTCTATGAATGATAATGATATTGTGATGTTCTTTGTTCCTTTATTTGCAGCTGTCTGTTCTCCGTTAGAATGTCATCAGTTAAAACTTTTTATGTTCTTCTTATTATGTTTTACTTTGCTTTTGTCATGTGACCACAGAATTATTATATTTGTAATTATTGTATGTAACGAGATACTGTTAATGTATAAGTTACCGAAATAAACTATTTCTTCTTCTTCATCATCATCATCATAACAATAAACGTTTACAACGTTTTGAAAATTCGTAGCTTCTCTCACCATTTCGTATTAACGAGAATATGAGCCTCCATATTTTAAGATATTAATATTATATTTCGATGATTGCATGACATATATTATATTTAATGATAATATATTTATGATTGAACAATGTGTTTCGAATTAAAAACATTATTGCTTTTGATTCTTCAAATTCTGTAAAATTTATTTTGTTTTGTGATATTGAAGAAAACATATGAACTATTTCAGCAGGTATGTCTGCTTTTGAGGACCCGCTCTACAAGGACTGGGTGCGTGCTGCCCTAGGTCTTAAGTACCTTAAAGAAGGCATATATGGCTTTGTAGACCAATTTGCTAAACAACACCATAGCAACCTTCTTCAAAGTTACATAAAGGGTACTGGGTCCCCTGCGACCAGTTGCACTGAATGTACATCTGAAAATCTCATGCCAGATCATCCAAGACATCAATGTATTCAAAAATTTAGATCCAAGTGTTTCTGTAACAATCCTGTTGGACGACGAAAATGTCCTAACAACTTCTGCAGTTTATTGTATGACTTAATTGTCATTGCTCATGACGAAAGAAACCCTCTATGGATCAACACGGACCCAAGAAAATGGTATAGTGATCATTGGGAAATCGCTAAGTGTTATCTCTCAACTACTGGTTATTCAGAACAAGGGACAGCTGTAGACACGGACGCTGCTGGCCTGTTGTCAATTATTGTGAATAACATCGAGATCCGTAATTACGTTGATTGCATAGATAATATAAAAAAGGTATTTTTTATGTTGTTAAATTTCATTCCTATTTATATTTATGATAACTACATGATAGTCAATAAAATGTTGCACTCTGATTCATATCGATACCTGATTTTCTGTAATACTGGTATCCCACTCGGGGCTGTTTATACCGTCGCTAGAAGTTATAACGATATTTTCCCAATAGTCGTCGTTCTTAAACAGTGTTATTTCCAACAAATTTGCCATTTACTTCTGTCTTGTCAAAATTCATCCTCAGTTAATAAAGTTAATGTAAGAGGAACTCCACACTGTTTTTGACAAGACTGGACTGAATATAATTTTTCAAAATTTGTGTTAAATTTGATAGCAGTAAATACTTACGTGCAAAATTTAAGATAACGATTTAAAATTTGCTGATTATATTTTGCAGAGAGAGTATTAAAAATATGCAAAATAAGCCACATATGAAAGCTTTAACTCCAATAAATCAGACTAATAACGTCACAAAAAGTATTGAATTCAATTGTGAGATTATGTTTTAATTATGTGTTGCAATTTGTTCCGTTTAAATTTGCCCAAATTAATAAATACAAAACTTTCAAAGTTAATGTGTTTTAACTTTTGGGTCACAGAGGATTCCTTTAAACGTGTTTGGTGTTGACACTTAAAATGGATCTGTTTTATCTATATGATAACTTTGAATATGAATGCTCAACGTACTTGTAGACTTAGCGATACATTTGACATTACTTTGAATTATAATCACTTCATTTTATTTAAAGGTTCGGGATATCCGCAATGATATTATGCATTCAAAATCCTTCCAAGTCGATCAAAGTTCTTTATATCAATATATAGATCGGATGATTTTGGTTCTTCAAGATCCAAAGATATTAGTCACAGATGTAGCTGCCCAAAATGCCGTAATAAAATTGGAAAAGGTCACTATAACCTTGATTCTATTAATTCATCCTAAAAAATTACTTCTTTTTTCAGTTTTTACACTTGTTATTGTCCTACATATTTCTATTTATATTCGCGTGAAATATTCCTATAAATATTTAAAATAATCTTTGTCGATTCAGAATTAATTATTATGAAAAATAAGCCTCCAGATTAAGGCACATTTTCATAAATCAATAGAATGATCGAAAGGCCTTCAGTCATTTTTTTTAAGTTATAATAGTAACTGCGTGACCAGATATTGATAAAAGGTAAATTTAACTAATTCTTTAAATTCTTATATGTATTTTTTCTTGAGTCTTGTAGTTTTTAAGTCAAATGATAATATGCGTTTCGTTTCATGTATGCAGTTAAAGAAAAATCAGATACACATAAGCTTAGACGATGCTTATGAAATGCGAAGACAAGCTTTAAAAGCTGTTGAGGATGGTAAAACAAAGATCGAAAAAACTAAAGACGAAGCCATTCAACAAATCGAGATGAAGAGAAAAGAAATTCATGATGATTTAGATTCACGCTTTGACCAGCGGCTACTGGAACAGAACAAGGAAATCAAAGCTGAAACGATACGTATGCAAACAGAGAAGAATGAGTTCGAAAGTAGATATCAAACAGCTGTGAACGAAATTGAAACAAAGGGAAGGCAGATAACAGATAACATCGATACATACTTTGAGAGTCGAGTGAATGACCATGAAAACAAAATCGAAGAGCAGGTTGAACCTTTGTGTTCCATCATCTTTTATTTCCCTTTCATTAAATTCAAATGAAGACTTAGATACTTAAGATTTTTACATATATTTGGTAGACTTTAAAGTGAGTAATGTAACTATTGCTTATTTAATCTTGAAAAAAGTGCCAATTATTCAATAAAAGTATTTGACCGAATATGAATGATATTTCCTGTTTCCCCAAATAATTATATATATATGTTCCCTATTTCCCATTCACACCATTTTTCTGATATAATTTTAGTCTAAAGAAATTTCTGATGCTGAAACTGTATGTTCTGCGCTGACTGAAGATGAAAAAGGTAATGAATTCCGTTACAAATACTGATTTTTATCAAAAAATGCCATGTACTTCGATGTCTTATATAGTTTAATGCATAATATTGAATTGTCCATCTATGTTAAGGTTCTTGAAAGTAAAAAAATATTAACACACTTCTTGCGGAGTAGATTCCTGTTTCCGATTCTGTTTATATAGTATACCGGCCATATTTAAATTGCAACAATACATTCAATGGTCATGGGGACATACATGCAATCCATTTGATATTATTATCCTCATTCTAAAAGATATATTAGCATATCAACCTTTAAATCCATGTCAATGCATCTTTCAACACCTGAACGAGAGATGTCCGTGGCCGAGTGGTTAATGTCGTTGACTTCAAATTACTTTCCCCCTTACCTCTGTGTGTTCCAGTCCCCGACAGGAATATTTGATTCTTTCGTGTGAGGAGGATATCCAGCTAGCTTACGGAACGTCGGTGGTTCTACTCAGGAGCCCATATGTTCCTGAAATAATGCATGGGAGGGTACCTGAGGTCTTCCTTAACCATTGAAGCTGGAACGCCGCCATATGACCTATACTGTGCTATACTATACTATACGGCTTGACTTAAAACCTAATAAAAAAAAACAACACCAGAACGATAACTGTTATTATAATATATATATACATGCATTACACTATTGTTATGGTTTCTTACATTTTGACAGGTCTCCAAAGATATTTACTGGAATTTTATAGAAAGGAATATGTTCAGATACCAATATCTCCACTTTCTACAAAGTACAGAAAAAGCGTTGAGAAGCTTTATGTCCCGTTACAGGCAAAGATAATTTGCAAACACAAAAATTTAGCCGCAACCAAACTAGCCGATATGTTCCAGCAAGACAATAAAGTCATGCGCAACATATATCTAACCGGAGAAGCAGGGATAGGAAAATCAACTTTTTGCAGGAAATTGATTTCACTATGGTGTACTGTTAGAGCAAATGAAGGAAAACTTCCACTTGATTATACTCCTGTTTTTGGTTTTAAAAATCAACCATCAACAGAGAACAGCTCTATTCAGACTGTTGAATGTTTTGAAGATTATATGGATGATTATTTTTATGAGAGTTATATGTCTGATGAAAGTGATATGTCGCAGACAGAATACAGTGATGATAGTTCTCTATGTAATGAAGAACTAAGCACAAGTACAATAAATAATGCGTTCTCAAGTCATAACAACAATCAAGGTCCGCCAATTTCAGTCGCTAAAAGTTCACAGATCACAAGTGACGACACAAATAATGCATTAATCGAAAAGTTTGATTTCCTTTTCTTCATATCTCTTCGCGATACTAATCTAGAGGTCTCCATTGAAGACATGATAGTAAAACAGCTTCTTTTTCAAAATTTAAAACTTAACGAATGCTTCAAAAGCACCATAGTCAGAATTCCAGAAAAATGGCTTTGCATTCTTGATGGAGTGGACGAATGGCAACCGCCCACACCTTTGCCAACACATCCTACGGTCACAAGAGGTTTGCCTCTAAGCTCTGTTGGTGGAAAATATGTCAAATTGTTTACAACTCGGAGATGGAAATACGAGAGTCTCAGTCCATGCATTGAAGAACATGAATCAGAAGTTAGACTGACGGGCATTGGGAAAAAATCATCAAAGGCGCTCATTGAAAATATGTTAGTGTCACAAGATCACACAATTGCATTTGAAACGGCAGTTAGCTTGAGTGATACAAATGATTTGGTGTCTACTCCTCTCCTACTCAAATTACTAATTTGCTTATGGCAAGAAAACTCTAAACTTGAAAAATCTAAAACAGAGTTGTATTGTTCAATTATAAACATTATGCTACATCTGGCGGAAAAAAGAAATGATTTGCCTTATGTTATTTCAACTCGACAATTACCACAAATGTTGGAAGTGTTTCGCTACATTAAAGACAATAGCAACATTGTTTTCAAGCTTTCACAATTTGCATTTGATTCCTTGTTTAAAAAATCCCATGACTCTGCATTAGTTTTTTCTGTGTTTGATCTTTCACAGCAAGGTTTTAGTTCAAGAGAAATTCTTTTATTTCTGCAAACGGGAATTCTTACACAAAAGTCGTAATCTAGTGAATCAAATTTTATCCCAAAAACATCATTGTCATTTATCCATAAAAGTTTTCAAGAGTTTTTTGCAGCCGTGCATATTGCTACTGCTGACAGTGACAGAAATGAAATTAAAAGACTTATTGCCGGTATATGCGGTCAAACGTATCAAATTGTTGAGATGACAAATGTATTTTATTTCTTAGCAGACTTACGCCAAGACTTGTATCAAGAAATATTAAAAGAAATAGCGTCACATTGTCGAGACAGGGGAATCGCCTTTAGCCACGAATTAGATCTCACGTTGAAATTAGAGGAAGAAGATTGTTGTCTTACTGACATATTCTTATGGGGTAACCCAAACTCCGTTGTGATAGAATCAACAAATTACGGCATAAAGGGACCTTGGCTTTCAAGACAAAACCAGAAACTTCAAATTTTAGAGCTCAGATATGTAAGTTTGACACATACTGCATTCAAGACATTGCTAGAAAGTATTTCTATATCACGAAAAGGAGTTGATGTCACTCTTATATGCTTAGGTTGGATAGACGAACACTTTGAAAAAGAAGTGTTCCCACTATCTGTTCATGTACGGAACGTTGGAAAATTGAAAATCGAATTCACAAACCTTACCCAAGTGGAATTTATCCTGCCTGAAAATATGTGTACTGTTGAATTGACTGAGAATGATATGACGGAAAATGGTTTGAGCACAATGATAAATTCTGTTTCAAAAACAAAAGGTGATATTGAAATGACCTTCCGTCGTATAAAGCTCAGAAAATCTAAATATACGCATTGCAATTCTGATTGTTCACTTTTGAACATCCTTGTTAATGCTTGTGCAGTAAATAAACGCATCAAAATAGGGGAAATAAAAATTTGTAAAAGTGATTTTACTAATACAGGTACATGTTCTGATTTGCAGAATGTACAATTGAGAGAATTAACGATTGAACATGTTGACTTATCAAAAGTAAGGTTTCCTTCTAAAGAAATTGACAATTTTCATCTGATAAATGCCATATCAAAAGATTTAAGTAAGTTTAAAGTTTCAAGTCAAAATCTTCAGGTATTAGAGCTAGAGTGTGTATTTGTGAAAATGACAGCATTCGTGTCATTTCTAGAAAATATTCCTTTGTCGGATAATGGTGTTGATGTGACTCTAGTTAATGTCATTTGGATCGACGAAAACCTACACAAAGAGTTTGATTTAAAAAATATAAGGAAATTAAAAATTCAATCTACAAATCTTACAGAAATAAAATGGAAGCTGTCTAAGAATATTCGTACTGTTGAATTGATTGATACTACTCTAACATCCAGAAATCTGTCTGCAATAATCGAATCTTTTCGAGATACAGAAGTTGATGTTGAATTGTACTTGAAATATACATTGTGCTCTGTATCCAAAATAGTACTGAATCGTTCTCAGATAATCGATAATGTGATAAGATGCCCGCTTAACGAGTTATGGCTTAAAAGTACCGTTTTCACGGATGTGTTTTTAGGTTCAAAGGAATTTGACGTTATCAACTTGGAGGATGTTAAAATTAAAATCAAAGAACTACAGAATGTTCTAGGTGAAAAAAATAATTGGACATATTCGTACGGTCTTCAGAAAATTTGACCCAATTTCTATCGTTACATTTACAGGTAGCAATGCTGATAAAGTACTTATAAGTGATAAATTTAACCTTCGATATGACAGAGATTTCATTCGATTTGAGATTGGTGTAAGTAAATATATAGTGGTATCAGTGTTGACAGTACGTTTTCAGTTTCATGTCGATGAAAATAGTATATGTCCTGAACTATTACATGTATTAGGAATCGTTCCACGAATCGAGCGAATGAAATTGAAATTACAGTTTGAATATATTTCTGATTCAAATGTTTTAGACTATTTAAAAGTAATAGAACTAATAAGAGACAGTGCTATCAAAATATTTTCTGTAACGATTGGATATACAGAGAAAAATAAAAAAATGAAAGATTTTGAGACATATATATATGATACATTAAAACCCACCAAAATATTATTTTGTGAAGGACATTTGAGAATAGAACGTATTTTAAGGCTCTCAAGTCATTTATTTGATATCTTTTGAACATATGTTCTTCTGTATGTGCAATAATGTTTGTATTCCTGTCATATCAGTTGAGTTAATATATTAAAGAGCTTTTCACAATGAGAAACGAATACATTTGAATTCTTTTGATCCTTTTAACACATCACTTTTAGGGTTAAATCATTATGGATTTTAATACTTAACTTTTTGTAAATGTCTATTGAAATATTTTTTTAAATATTTCTTTGTTTTCGGATAAAAAAAATAGTGTACAACACATGTTTTGTGGCGGCGTCCTTGGTCGATGGTTAAGGTCGTTTACTTCAAACCACTTGCAACTCACCGCTATGTGTTCGGATTCCGCTAGGTACTGGATTCTTTATGAACTTTGAAACTGTGAGATCTTCCTTCTGTAAAGTTGAAAAGACGCCATGGTGTTGTGTCGTAAAACCCAAGCCAAAAAGAAAACACAGACAAAACATTGTTTTTTACGAATAAATCTTTCTATAGATATTTACTTAGTTAAAACTATATATTTGATTGAATAAATGCTCCCCGACCGGGGTTGGAAATCGATGCATTATTTCCTTACCTCCCCTCCCCTCTGTCAGTCCATTCGTGCACACGTCTCAAAATTTCAATCAGAATACATTTTATTTACACCAACAACTGCTCGATTTTATCGAAACTTTTGATTAACTTTCCCAAGAATGTGTTATGAACATTTATAGCATGTTTTATTTTGGTATCTGAAAGTCATTCTAGTCGGAATGAAAAATTGACGACCAAAATTTTTGACAAAAAGCCACTTGGTGATGAAACCCATTTTTATATTTTTGGCCTCCTTCCGTATGACGTATTTCTGTCAATTCGTGTTCTGGCCATAACTCAGCCATTCGTCAGAGATTTTGAAATGACTTGGCAAAGGTTATCACCTGTCATGCAAAAACAACATGACTGCGTAACTCCATGATCAAGGTCCAACTAACACATCAAAGGTCCATAACTATTTCGTTGATTTTCGGTGATTTTGTAATAACTCTGCACAAATGTTCACCAGACAAACCGTGTAATGCGAGACAACTAGACCCCTACCTCTGTGGTCAAGGTCGGACTTTGAAATCAAAGGTCAGCACTGTCTGATGGAGAGTACTTTCAGTGTCAGATCCATAACTTTAATATCTGTTAAGATTTTGAAATAGGTTTGCACTAATATTCACCATATTAAGACAATGCGTCATGAACAACACTCAGATCCCTACAAAGTTTAACATGGTCTTTATTTTCCTTGTCCAGAGAAAGTATCAGAGAGATTCCAGTGAAACTGTAAAAGAACCATAACTTAAATATTTTAACTTGTCTCCGATGTTTACATGACAAGCTTTTGTCGGCAGGATAAAATTCACGTTTAGTGATCGTTAATCGTGACGTGGCTGTAAGCCGTCCACACTGTAAGAGAACATAATTTAGAGCAAGCCATGCATTGTCGTAGACCGTACTAAGGTGTCATTCTAAATAGACGTCACTGACGTCTTCTTTGAGTCATAACAATCGCAAAATCTTCGTTTTAGTGACTATTCTCCTAAAATTCCTAACATCGAGGTGCTGGCTAGACATGTTATTGAGCATGCGCTATGTGCATATATTATGAATTAGCTAATCAACTGATATTACTTCAGTGACGATTCATTTTATTCAATGCTGGTGGGCGCGTACGGCTCCATAACTTTTTTGTAATGTTTAAATTAAACAGGGTTATAAGAAAGGTTTTGAAAAATATAAAAATTGAAGATATGAACATAAAATCAACTTACTCATGAATTATTAAATGTTATTCGAATTAAAAAAAGGAAATATCTAACTGATATAAAATTTATAATTTGTACTGATGATTATATAATGATTTCTGTTTCACGGTTTATTGAAATATCTATGGTTTTTACACCATGTGATAAAGACATTTAACAGGTACCAATCTAGGAGTCACCAAAATAGAATTATATTATGCGACCCTCTGGGAACTAAAATATTATTTTAATCAACGAGGTCAATAATTTATGTAATTAAGCAGCACGAATATAATATTATATTTATTCTATTCTATTTATCACATATCAAAAGTAAGACTGTTCAAAGGGCGAAAGAATCACTTTTCATTGGCGCGCCTATTAGTGTAAAGATAAGATAAGACAAGTTTTATTTCAAGTCGGCAAGTTTACAACAGACTTGTAACGGTAACATTTAGTATACCTTCACGTTTTAAAATGGCATCACGTCAAATATATGCACGGCCGTGCAAGGACTCAAATGATCGGCACGGGTATGTGATAAAATCGGAATATTCAATAATGTTTTAGAAAAAAAATGAATCAAAAGAAAGCAAGAGAAAAAAATCAAAGCACAGAAGGCGCGGAATTTGTTTGGGTCCCAGAATGTCAGAAAGTCGAAGGATGTGACATTATAAAACAATTTGTTTTTGTATAGTGCCAGTAATGCTGTTTCCAGTGTTATAACTGTAGTAAATTGGCTTTAAGGCTAATTGCAACACTGATATTCAATTCAATGTTTATTTGGCTTGAACAATTAAAAAAAATAACATGAGTTGCCTTCACTAGGATTTGAACCCCAGACCTCTTGCTTCTTAAACGAGCACGTAATCGGGAAATTATTAGAAAGCGGCATGAGGCAACCCACATTATTCTGAATTAGGGTTTGTAATTTCGAGATATTTTGTTCACGGTAAACCTGTTGTTAAACACTGAACAGATGTAAATAGTCATGGAGCTTAATATAATCATGTATATCTGTGAATTAATTTAGCAAATATCTTCTCACATGTATATGATATTTCACTTCTCTTTGTGTAATATGCGCTGTAAAGGCGGTCACAATAAACCGAAGCTTTACGAAAAAGCCGAGCAATTTTCATTGATTAAAATGATATTCATCCGCGTAACAAAATTATTTGAATATATTACTGGAATGTTAAAGAATAACACAAAATCAGAAATCTTCGACCACTCGGGAACTATTATTTCTTCCCTGAGAAGGATTGAAAATTAATGCGCCTGTCATTTGACAATCTTTACGCAGTGATCTCCCATTAATTTGTTTACGTTAGTGTACTTATAAAGGGAAGTAACCGCTTTGAGGAGTTTGTGACGGAATACTTGCGGATTTTGCAAATAAGTATGTCAAGGTCTGATATTTCGCTACCATTATTTGTTTGGACAGACGACCTAAACAAATAAAAACAACAGAAGAAAAGGAATATGCAGGTCATTGGCCAATGTGTATTTTTTCGGAATTTACATAAGTGCAAAACGCGAAAAAACGACTGAATTTATAATAACGCGTAGGAATACAACTAAATCAGTGACCCGAAAATACAAATAATCGGATGAACCCATAATTAGATAAAAGCAGACAATAACCGACGGAAATCAGATATGCTGATGGATTCAAAATAAACTGCAACTATCTTTAGATATGAAACAACATTGATTCTTAAATTAAGAACCACTAAAACAGGGGTCAAACCTGACCTTTTCTTAGAACCAAATGCAAAAACACTGAAAAAGAAGTTATGACCCTGCTATTTTAAGACAAAATGAAAATTTATACACAATTTTTTTCATCAATATTTCTCAATATTTTATTGATAAATAAGTGTTTAATGGTCAATTTTATTCTATTTAGACTATTTTTCATATATTTGTTTTCCATATTTATAAGTCATAAAGAAGAAACAAGAAGTACCTTTTAAAACGATACTCGGCCGAAGTAAATCTGTTAAACATGCAATTTTTTGTCATTTCTAAATTTCCAAAACAAAAAGAAATGTAAGCAATGCTTGCATAACAATGCCATAATAATTATTTCTTGTTACTATTAAGAAAATACCCATTTTGTAAACAATTTAATCAAATTATGTCAATCGAAACTATATATCTTTCTTTCATTCGGCCTCTTCCTGAATACTCAAATGTAGTCTGGAATAATATAACTTAACAAGATGAATTCGAGCTTGAAGCCTGCAGAATTATTACTATTTCTTTCTTAAAACTCTATTAAGATACTTGTCTAATACCCTTAAAAGTAAGACACTACAAACACAAACTAATTCTGCTATATAAAATGTCCAATCATCTATCGCCACAATATCTCTCTTCCATGGTTCCCAAAACATTAGGACAAACTTCAGTATACAAGTTACGAAATGCAAGTAAAACTAGAAATATCTTCTGTCAAGCTCAACTCTATTCAAATGTATTTTTACCATCTTCGATTAAAGACTGGAACGATCTCCCACTCGAACTAAGAAATGCACCATCGCATGCAATTTTCAACAACGATTAAATGAAGATGTCCAAAAGTCCCAGCTCACTACAATGTAGGTGAAAGAAGATATCACATAATACAAACACGATAAAGACCAATTTGCAGCTCTCTGAAAGAACATCTGTTTTTAAGAAAACATAATAGGAAGCCCTTTTGTATATGTTGTGAAAAAGAAAATACAGAACATTATTTCCTCCGCTGTCCCATGTATTAAGATGACCGCACTGTCCTAACGAACAATTTAAGTTAAATCACAACTGTTACATTGAATACTTTACTATATGGCGATAATTCACTTAGGTATGCTCTAAATGAAACAATTAACTCAAATATACATAAATATATACCCAAAAAAAATTTAAAAAAAGAAAAATAATGATTTGAGAGAGTTTCAAAAAATCTTTTTAAGCTTCCTACTCAATCCGTAAATTTTATCTTATGTACCTTATTATGTAAATGAATAGATGATAAATAAAATTGTTTAAACTAAATTATAGCATATTTAAATTGATTATTTTTCACAGAAGAGCAACTTCTATTTAAGGTGTTCCTTTTACTTGTTTTACTTTTGACTTAATATGAATTTTGTAATCAATTACAAATTAACCTAAAAATTTAAAAAACAATATTCTCATTCTTTTACATTTTATTTAAAAAAAAAAACTATTCTCTACATTTTATTTTATAGTGTCAAAACTATCTCTTACATTTTATCATAGAGCTATCGTTAAAATTTTATTTTAAGAACAATCCTTTTCATTTTATTTAGAATGGTTAGCACTGTCCTTTACATTTTGTTTAGAGTGACCAATGAGATTCACCGATTTAAAGTTGTAATTTTAAAATGACCAATGAAAACTCTTTTTATATTCAGTCCTTCCATGTTAATTTAACAAGAATTCAAATTGATAACAGACGGACTTCGTCCGAAAAATATCGAGTCGAAAAAGTTCTTTCTGATTAACAATATCCGGAATCGTTATGATCTCCGAATCTCTGCTATTGACTTATTCCGAAACAAATTGTAATGCTTGGTCAAGCGTACATTAAACTTAAACATCTTTCAACCAGTAACAAAACAAATTTTTAACGGTAAATTTGTTTGTTTTTTTTTCACTGAAATTCTAAATCATTTAGTTTACCAGTGAACCTAGAAACATCATAAATACGGGGAAACAATTGTTTGTTTTTTTGTTGTTGTTATTTGTTCAAGGGTCATCAAGATTATAAC